AAACATGTATGTGTGCATCTCTTTTAGCAGGGGCAGGGCGGAGGCGGGATTTGGATGGGATTTCATTTTTCACAAAAGACTGGATGAGGCAAACAAGCTACATTAAGCATGCCAGACACGAGAACATTGTTACTTAAGGAGTCAGTAGCGCACTTATTTTAAATACCTTCTGATTTAAATGATTGTCCAACCAGTTATAAAAAGAAATTCTGCAGCAATTGAACTATAATGCAATATAAATACCATCTAATCAAATCGACAATTATTCAGATTTATGTACCTAACACTATGATATGACACCAGCAGTAACCAATCAAAAAAAGTCTACTGAATTGTATTGGTAGGGGAACTAAATAAACACTAACATGTTCCTAAGTTCTACCTGAAGAAATGACCCCAAATGGAGGCGTGTTGAAATTTGAAACCACTATGATGTTTCTAATCTCTGCCCAATACTTTGATCCTATAATCAGATACAGCCAATTGCACGGCTACACTTGAGTACCAAACCCAAGGTTAGCAAATCTGACATAATAGCAATATACCATCTAGGCACACAAAAAGCCAGATATTTCCCTCAAATCCATCTAATGCTTACAACTGGAACGCATTAATACTGTTTCATTTGGAAGAAACCATGAGTAAGTCATGGTTCAGCCAGCATCATACCCATAGTAATAGCACAAAAGATTTCAACTTCACAAGATGATGCAATGAGTGATAAACAAAAAACATGTACAATATATGAAACTACACCAGAAAATGCAACAAAGTGACTAAAATTTAACCTGAAAATCGCGGACTTTGAATGTAGGGCTGAGAATAGCACACTGAAGTGCACACCCACGAGCAACACACTCACTCGCATTCATTGTTCTCCTTGGCTCCTTCCCAAAGAACTCCGTCAAAATCCTAATAATGGCCGGGACTCTCGAGCCAGAGCCAACAACTTCAACAGTGTGAATATTCTCCACGCTCAACCCAGCATCAGCAAGAGCCTTCTCTAAGGGACTCTTAACCCTCTCCAATATAGGCACGCTAATATTCTCAAACTCCTCCCTTTTAATAAACCCTCTCACATCCTTCTCATCCATCAAGCACTCTATATTTAAAGGCGCCTCAGGATTCGCACTCAACATTTTCTTCAACTTCTCACAAGCTGCTCTTAAACGAAGACAAGCCCTCGCGTTCTGATACACGTCAATTTTATACTCATCCTTAAATTTTGCAGCAAAATACTTGACTAAAACCTCATCAAAATCCCGCCCACCAAGTGATCGATCAAATGTATGAGCCAAAACTTTTAGTTGACCCTTCTTATACCCAGCAATACAAACCTGCATACTCGCATGCCCAACATCAACAAAGGCAACATTCAACTGATCGTTTTCAGGCAAATCAGTTTTATAAATACCGTAAGCCAATGCAGTCGCAGTCGTCTCATGAAATAATCTCAACGGATTCAATCCTGCAAATATACAAGGTGGAAACAAGCTAAATAATTAACAAATACTTTGTCAATTGTTGGCGTAACTATTTGGTTATATTCGATTTGGTAGTTCAATTAACAATAAACAAATAATTTTTAACATTTGATACATAAATAAATAGAATTTAATGTAGATGTATATTCAATTCGTTTGATTATCAAATATTCATCTAAAATTTCATCATTTACAACTTGTATTATTACTCACATGATGAGAGACCTACAAGAGTACCAAGTCAACTTTATAACCAAACATTCGAACTACAGATTCATATATCATAATTAAAAAGGAACAAACGTAAACTATGAATTCACTGCAACTTAACAATTATTAACTTTTGTATGTTGATATTCTTGTACAAAACTAAGGTCTATATTTTCGCTCAAAATATAACTTCAAAGTGAAACTTTGGGGTAATAAATTGCAAATAACCATTAAAAAGTATAATCGCTGCTTGATTTGGTTCTAGACCTACCTGCGATCTTGGCCGCATCCATCACCGCTCGCCGCTGCAAGTCCGTAAAGTACACCGGAATCCCAATACAGCAATCAACAACGGCCGCATTCAAATTCTTCTCAGCGATCCCTTTCAAATCCGACAGAACCATCCCCAGAACCTGAGTCGGCGTGAACCCCCGCTGCTCGCCGAGATACCGAGCCTGGATCACCGGGAACCCATCGGAACCTTCGGTGACCGCAAAAGGCAGGGTTTGGATATCTCGTTGCAGCTCTGGATCGGAGAACTTTCGGCCGATCAATCGCTTGATTTGGGAGATCGTGTTCTTAGGGTTCATCATCGAGGAGGCGGCGCCGGCGGTGCCGATGAACCGCTGCTTGTCGCACTCGTCGTTGAGGACGACATCGATGCCGCGCTGGCGAGCGACGGCGACGATGCCGCTCTCGTTGCCGACGTCGAATCCGACCACGCTCATCGTCGAATCTGGATGATTTGATGATTTCGATCGGGATCTGAGAAATTAGGGTTAGGGTTTTGGAGTGGGGGAAAATAAAAAAAGGAGGTGAAGGCGGGTGTGGATGTTTCTAGAAGCGTTGATTTTAAAAGGTAGTTTCGAAAATATAGGAGTTTATTTATAAGGGTTGATATAATGTGCACCGTTGGATTTGAGAATGGACGGTTGGATTCCGGAGGAAAGGGAAGGAGAGAAGACGCTTTGAGGGGGTGAGGATATCTGAAGTATAAGTGCCGTTTGTTTGCATGGAAGTACAAATGCAACAAGGGATGTAAAGCGTTAGAGACTCACCGCTAGCCAAATAGCACAACTGCTCATTTTGCTACTTTAGACCATCTCCAGCGGGAGGTGAAATTTCACCTCATTCTCTCCTGCCACATCACTTTATTTAATTCAATAATCTTCATTTCCCTATCAACTCTACAGCAGGAGATTTTTCAGAAAGTTTTTTACTTTATTTGGGACCCACCATAAACCACTTCACTTCAACATATACCCCACCATATTTATTCATTATTTTTCCTATTTCATATATATTACTATTTTATTATTATTATTATTAATATAACTCATATATTTATAATTATAATTTATTAATAATTCAATAAATAATATATAATATTTAAATATATATTATTAATTTAATTTTCAATAATATTTTTATGTTAACATAAAATAACACACGATTTTATTAAGCATACGGAAAACCAAACACACCCAAATTATTGAAAACATGCCAGAAAAACACACACTAAATTGGTAAATCTAATCATAGGTTGTCCCAAACTTCTGCCAAATGTGCTCGATAAGATCCTTCTTCAGCTGAATATGTTGGGTCTTATCTCGTAGTTCCGCTCTAGTCTGATTATATGCCTCAAGATCCTTCTTCAGCTGAATATGTTGGGTCTTATCTCGTAGTTCCGCTCTAGTCTGATTATATGCCTCAGATCGGTGTTGAACATGGACTTGAAACTCCGGCAACACGTCTGTTTGAACATTGAAAGAGGCGCTAGAGCTAGCATTGTTCGACGGTTCAAAGTCGATATTTTCCCAGTTTCGCGAATACGTATCTCGTTCATCCTCTACTATCACGTTATGTAAAATAATGCACGCCCTTATTATTTTTCCTAAGACATCAAGATCCCACATTCTAGCTGGTTGGCGGACAATAGCGAAGCGTGCTTGGAGTACCCCGAATGCGCGTTCCACGTCCTTCCTGCATGATTCCTGTTGTTTGGCAAAAAATTGATGTTTGTTGCCTTGGGGCATTTGAATTGACTGCACGAAGACAGGCCACTTAGGGTAGATTCCGTCGGCAAGATAGTATGCAAGATTATACTCTCGCCCATTCACGGTGAAGTTTACCCGTGGAGCTTCACCAGACTCAATGTCGTCAAAAACCGGTGACCTATCTAGTACATTTATGTCATTCAAACTACCAGGAAGCCCTAAAAAAGCATGCCATATCCACAAATCATATGACGCAACTGCCTCGAGGATAACTGTTGCCGTCCCCTTGTGTCCACTAGTAAACTGCCCTTGCCAAGCCTTAGGATAATTTTTCCACTGCCAGTGCATGCAATCAATACTTCCAATCATCCCTGGGAATCCACGTTCCTGTCCAACTTGGAGCAACCTTTGCAAATCTTCCACATTTGGTCGTCGTAAGTATTCATCTTGAAACAATGCTATTGCCCCTTCGCAAAACTTGCGAGTACACTCGATAGCAGTGGATTCTCCTATCTTGACGTACTCATCACAAGCATCGGCTGCGACTCCATATGCGAGCATGCGTATGGCAGCCGTACACTTCTGGATAGGCGTTAACCCAAGCTTGCCCGCATTATTGCGCCGTTGTGTGAAGTAATCGTCGTAATTTGATATAGAGTCCACAATTCGTAGAAAGAGAGGCCTTTTCATTCGATACCTGCGTCGGAACTGGGCGTCAGTGTAAGTGCATGACTCGGCAAAGTAGTCGGCCATGAGTCTCTCATGCGCTGCATGATGATCTCTATGTATGGATTTCCTCTTACGTGGTTGTTCGCTTCTCCTTTGCAATTCTTCAAGAAGTTCTCGCTGCCTATCAAGTATTTTTTCTTCTATTTCCCATTGTTGTTGGAACTCTTCTAGACTAAACTCATTTAGGAAAGGATCCATTGGATGCTATGATTTTTGAAATGTTGATAGGTATACTTATGATGTGCATCTGATCAGTTTATATAATGAAGGGTAGTTGTTCAAATAATTGAATTCACATGCAATTGCAGAGACATGTGTCATAGGGCATGCATGTGCAGAGAGTTGTCAATTCATATTTTGTATTATTATGCAGGTGTAGTCATTTCATCCTTTGTATTTTTTGCAGTGAAAGGTCAATTCAACATTTGTTTGTTTTTGCAGTGAAAGGTCAATTCATATTTTGTATTATTATGCAGGTGTAGTCATTTCATCCTTTGTATTTTTTGCAGTGAAAGGTCAATTCAACATTTGTTTGTTTTTGCAGTGAAAGGTCAATTCATATTTTGTATTATTATGCAGGTGTAGTCATTTCATCCTTTGTATTTTTTGCAGTGAAAGGTCAATTCAACATTTGTTTGTTTTTGCAATGAGAGGTCAATTCATATTTTGTATTATTATGCAGGTGTAGTCATTTCATCCTTTGTATTTTTTGCAGTGAAAGGTCAATTCAACATTTGTTTGTTTTTGCAGTGAGTAGTAATTGTATCTTTTGTACTATTATGCAGTGAGAAGTCAATATCAATCGGCTTTATTGAACCATAAACAACAATTTTATTCAAACATAAACAACACTTTTATTAATACATTCAACAAACATAGGCACCCACACAACTCCAAAATTAAACAAACGGCACACAAAAACATCAGAAAAAAGCACACAATCATAACTTTTTGAGAAGGTCTTATTTTCCAAACAGGTTCTTCCTCAACATATTATAAGCTTCTTCATCTTCATCGTCACGATCTGGTTTGTTTTTCAAGAATAACCACATCTCCATATTCTTGGAATGAGCCAGGTTATTCATAGCTGAAGCAGTACTTGATCTTTTCTCTTCAAATTTTTCATGAGCACTGACTAACTTAGATAACTCCTCCTCAATTGCCCCTTTTGATTTCCTTGACACTGATGTTTTACTAGAGGAAGCTCTAGCTTTCTTCTTTGCCACGTCCCTACCCTCTGGACGTACAAGGGTAGGAGTTGATGATTCAACATCCTCACCACTACTCTTTCTTTTAGAGCCACTACTACCGGATGCATTTCCTCCTGTCATATATTTGGGTTTATTACGAACCACCTTCCACTCATCCACCAAATTAAACGTCGTACCTATTTTCTCAAAGTACAACTCTCTTGCCTTGGATATGTAGTTTTCATCGGACCAACCGCTACGCTTCTCCCTACATGCAGTACTGTAGCAGCCAATGAAACTGGATATCTTTCTGTTGATGTCTTTGAAATGACTATGGCACCGAGACACAATCCTCTCCTTTCCACTTTTGGCGTTCTCATTCACGTACTGTGTAATTTTACCCCAGAAAGTTTTACCCTTTTGGTTGTTCCCCAACTCACTATCATTACTAACGTGAAAATAACCAGTTAGTAAAAGTATGTTGTCTTCGGTGGTCCAAGTTTCATAACTTGATCTCTTTGCTGATTGTTGGGTTGGAGGGAGAAAACTGTGAGGAGTATCCCCACCAACATTTCCCAAAGACATTTGGGTAGAAAATTCTGGGATATCTGTAGATCCGCTACTAAACCGGGGTGTCGCTGGCTCACTCGACTCCGTGTTAGGACAATTCATATGGGAGGGAACATAGCTGCTTCCCGGAACTGGAGGATAACCGTAAGGGAGATAAGGATATTGCATGCCAAAATTTGGTTGCATCATGTACGGCATTTGAAAATTAGGCTGCATCCCCGTATTTTGAGTATTTTCGGGGCATTGTATATTTGGATGTTATGGTTGAGGAGGGTATTTTGAGGTTGGTTAGGAAAGTTGTAGTTGTAGGGAAAATTAGGATAGTTTTGTGAAGGATCCATGAAGAAACTAGCTTCAAATTGTAGAAAGAAGAAGAATAGGGTGTAGAAACTCAGATTTTTTTTGGTGTCCAAATGACACAAAGTTAGTCTCTATTTATAGAGTTTGAAAAATGAAAATTAATGGTATAAAAATTATAAATTAATTCATTGTATTTATCTTAAAAATATCAGATAAAAATAAGGAGGAAAAAAATAAAGCTTGCCCAATAGAAATTCGCCGCGTGTCCGCTTGCATCAAGGCGCGCGCGTGGGCTTGTCAGATTCATCCGGGATGAAATTTTCACCCTCTCTCCGATCTCATTTATTTCACCCCACAAAAAATCCTCAGCTGCCTTCAAATACCCCACAAAAAATCCCTTGCTGCATATGGTCTTAGAATAAAAAATTTTATTTATTTCTCGCTCTAATTAAAAATTAAAGAGATCATTTATCTCTCTTTGCGATGATATTTTCGAATTGCTATCGAAACAAAATATATAAATAAAAAGGAGAAAAAATATTTCACATGTGAAACAAATAAAAAATATTGTTTCTGCTACTTTCTACCGCATAATTTTTTAAGAGATTTTTTCTAATACCACTTTAAAAATAGGGTCATTATACAAATACCACTTTGCATTTTTAATTTGTAGGTAAATCATCTTTAAAGAGAGTTTTTGTTCCAGCCCACCGCATCCAGTCAAATTTTCGCATAAAAAAATCAAAAAATACATGTTTAAGGTACGTGACTCGTATCATAACTAGGCCTAAATATTAACAAAGTGAGTTATGTGTCTTAAATATGAGTTTTTAAGGTTTTTTGGGGTTTGTAGTGAAAATTTTGCATGAAGGTAGTTGATTGGAACGAAAACTCATTTTAAAGGTAGTTTATGTTTAAATCGAAATGTGGTTTCTACATAATAGTCTTATTTTTAAGGTGGTTTCTAGGAGGAAATCATTTTTCAAGCTACTTTTTAAATCTATTTCTTACTTCTAAACTTATAGTCATTCAAATAGGCCTTTAGCGCTAAATGGAGTGTAAATTTGAGATTATCGTCCTTTTGGCTCTTTTTGGGGTGTTTCTGTTAAGTTTTTTTTCAAGAAGTAGTCAATAATAGTGTTTGGTTAAAAAGTTTTGCATGTTCGTTGACATTATCTTTGCTTTTAAAGAGGTGCTTTTAGAAGCAATCTAAACATGTTTTTGTTGGCCTTCTTGTTTTGATGATGTTTAACAAACAATTTATTACTAATGTTGTTTGTCTAGTGTTTGTACATTCTTATATATTGTAGACAAACAACGTTGTTGGAGGATGGATGGAATAGAGCTTCAACAATCATATCCAAAGGAGGTTGGCGGAATATCGGGTTGAAGCCTATACAATTCAAGTTAAAGATCAAGTTCAAGCTTCATCCGCATGTGTACCAAGTTGAGCTACAATGAAGATCAAGATCAAGCTTGGGTAAATTAGTTTTAGGTTTTATATTATGTGTGTTAGTACTTTAAGCTCAATCATATACACACATACACGCTTTGGTTTTGGTTTTGTATATATACAGTTATATATATATACATATATGTTTTTTGGTTTAATAGGTTTCAAGTTTATATATGAAACAAATAAATAAAATTGGAAAATACTATTTTGTTTCACGTTTATGTGCCTATATATGATTTCGTCTTTAACAAGTTATATTTAATGAAATCATATTTAGTGTTTTGTATATATTGCATAGAATATGCAATTTTATGAAAATATGGTATTTCTAGGTTATAGACTTCATAACAACATGTTATATCTTTTATCAAGTCTATACAATCATTTCATAATGTTTCAAAATGTTGTTTAAGTCAAAATATCAAAATATCAATTTTCAGGTTTTCATGTTTTTAAACATATTTGCAAAATGATGATATTTTACATTTGGGAAGTCCTTTCTGATAACCAGTCACTGTAGCATGTTTATTATCATGTCTACAATCATTCCCCAAAGTTTTACATTTTTCTGAATTTATTTGATATTTTTAAACAGTGTTTTAAAATCAGATAAACAATTTTTCAGAACCTGTCATATCTGTTTTCGGTCGACCGGCACCGGTCGACCGTCGTTGTTCTTTTCGACAGTAGGCTCCAGAGAGTTCGTCGGTCGACTGCTGCGGTCGACCGAGAGCTTCCTTCGGTCGACCGCACCGGTCGACCGGATAAGTCAGCTTTTGTTCTTCTCGTTTTGACCTGGATAGGCGTCGACCGGACTTTTCCGTCGGTCGACCGAACTTCTCCATCGGTCGACCGACAGAATTTTCGGTCGACCGACAAATAGACCTGTATACGACTATTTTCCTGGAGTGTCTTCTGGGAGCATTTTCTGTCTTTTTGCTTGGGGTTTTTGGCTGAGTTGTGAGAGGGTATAAATACCCCATTGTCTTCAACTCTCAATTTATCTAAGAATGTTTTAAAGAGACTTTTAAAAACAAGTTTAATGAGTTTTGTTTAAGGGTTTAGTGTTTGTTTAAAAAGCTTTTAAGCATTTACAAGAGTTTGGTTTGTGGAGCAAATTTCAC